ACTCAAACTCTTGGATTAAGGTGTACTATAAAAACACCAGGATTAAGGTGTACTTCACAAACACCAGGATTAAGCTGGACTACACAAATGCCAAGATTAAGATGTACTGCATCAATACAAAGATTAAGGTGTACTTCACAATCACCAGGATTAAGGTGTACTAAACAAACATCAGGAATAAAGTGTGCTACACAAACTCCATGATTCAGGTGTACTACACAAACACCAGGATTAAGGTGTACTACGCAAACACCAGGATTAAAGTGTTCTACTAAAAAAACAGGATTACGGTGTACAGCACAAACAGCAGGATTAAGGAACACTGTACAAACACTACGATTAGGCTGTGCTATATAATCACCAGGTTTAAGGTGTACAACACAAACACCAGGATTAAGGTTTACTACACAAAACACATGATTCCGGTGTACTTCACAAACACCAGGATTAAGGGGTACTACTCAAACTCCTGGATTAAGGTGTACTACTGAAACACCTGGATTAATGTGTACTCCACAAACACCAGGATTAAGGTGGACTACACATATTTTTTAGGTGTACTACACAAACACGAGGATTAATTTGTACTGCACAAACATCAGGATTTAGGTGTATTACATAAACACCAGTATTAAGGTGTACTACATAAATATTAATGTGTACTACATTAATATTAAGGTGTGCTACACAAATATCTAGGTGTATTACACAAACATCAGGATTAAGGTGTTTTTCACAAACACCAAGATTAAAGGTTACTACACAAACACTAGGCTTAAGTTTTACTACACAAATATTGAGGTATACTACACAAACATTAAGGTGTACTACACAAACACCCGGATTAAGGTGTACTTCAAAAACACCAAGATTAAATTGTACTACTCAAACGCGAGCATTCAGGTCTACTATACAAACAACAATTATAAAGTGTACTACACAAACAACAAGATTAAGGTGTTTTACACAATTAGCAGGATTAAGGTGTACTATACAAACTCCAGGATTAAGGTGTACTTCACAATCACCCGGATTAAGATGTACTAAACAAAAACCAGGAATAAGGTGTAGTACACAAACACCAGGATTATGGTGTACTACCCAAACACGAGTATTAAGGTGTACTACACAAACACCAGGATTTAGGTTTAGTGCACAAACATCAGGATTAATGTGTACTACAGAAACACCAGGATTAAGGTGTATTAAAGAAACACCATGATTAAGGTGCATTGTACAAACACCAGGATTAAGGTGTGCTACTCAAACTCTTGGATTAAGGTGTACTATACAAACACCAGGATTAAGGTGTACTTCATAAACCCTAGGATTAAGCTGGACTACACAAATGCAAAGATTAAGATGTACTTCATCACCACAAAGATTAAGGTGTACTTCACAAACGCCAGGATTTAGGTGTACTACATAAACACCAGTATTAAGGTGCACTACACAAACACTAGGATTAAGATGTACTTCACAAACACCAGGATTAGGGTGTACTACACAAACACCAGGATTAATTTTTCTACACAAATATTTAGCTGTACTACACAAACAGCAGCAATAAGGTTTATACCACAAATACCAGGAATAAGGTGTATTACACAAACGGCAGAATTAAGGTGTACTGCACAAACATCATGATTAAGATGTACTATACAAACACCAGGTTTAAGGTGTACTACACAAACACCAGGATTAAGGTGTACTACACAAACACTAGGATTGAGGTGTACTACACAAACACCAGGATTAAGGTGTACTACAAAAACACAAGGATTATGGTGTACTTCACAAACACCAGGATTAGAGTGTACTACACAAACACGAGCATTCAGGTGTACTATACAAACAAATATAATAAAGTGTACTACACAAACACGAGGATTAAGGTGTACTACACAAACACGAGGATTAAGGTGTACTACACAAACACCAGGATTAAGGTGTACTACATAAACACGAGGATTAAGGTGTACTTCACAAACACCAGGATTAAGGTGTACTGCATAATCATCAAGATTAAGGTGTACTACAAAAAACACGAGGATTAAGGTGGACTACACAAACACCAGGATTAACTGTTACTTCACAAACACCAGGATTAAATGTTACTTCACAAACACAAGGATTATGTTTTTCTACACAAATATTGAGGTGTACTACACAAACACGAGGATTAGGTGTACTACACAAACACCAGAATTAAGGTGTACTTCACAAACACCAGGATTATAGTGTACTACACAAACACGAGCATTCAGGTGTACTATACAAACAAATATAATAAAGTGTACTACACAAATACCTGGGTTAAGGTGTACTACACAAACACCAAACACCTGGAGTAAGATATACTACACAAACACCAGGGTTAAGGTGTACTACACAAACACCAAACACCTGGAGTAAGATATACTACACAAACACCAGGGTTAAGGTGTATTACACAAACACCAAACACCTGGAGTAAGATATACTACACAAACACCAGGGTTAAGGTGTACTACACAAACACCAGGAGTCGTATAGACAACTTGCATGTAGCAAACAGGAATTATTGACGGAATGTTAAGTTTAGGGATTGACACTATTACACGGGGAGGCAGTGTAGACGAGGAGGGGAGAAGCAACACACGTTTGGGGAAGAGGCAGTGTAGACGAGGAGGGGAGAAGCAACACATGTATTCACCTAGTTGTGTTTGCGGGGGTTGAGCTTTGCTCTTTCGGCCCGCCTCTCAACTGTCAATCAACTGTTTACTAACTACTTTTTTCCCCCACACCACACACACACACACACACACACACCAGGAAGCACCCCGTGACAGCTCACTAACTCCCAGGTACCTATTTACTGCTAGGTAACAGGGGTATTCAGGGTGAAAGAAACTTTGCCCATTTGTTTCTGCCTCGTGCGGGAATCGAACCCGCGCCACAGAATTACGAGTCCTGCATGCTATCCACCAGGCTACGAGGCCCCTACATGTGGGGAAGAGACAGTGTAGACGAGGAGGGGAGAGACAGTGTAGACGAGGAGGGGAGAGGCAACACATGTTAGGGGAGAGGCAGTGTTGACAAGGAGGGAAGAAGCAACACATGTAGGGGAGAGACAGTGTAGACGAGGAGGGGAGAAGCAACACATGTGGGGGAGAGGCAGTGTAGACGAGGAGGGGAGAAGCAACACATGTTGGAGAAAGTTTTAAATGTAGTGACAAAACGGGGGATCAAAAGAGACACATGCAGGAGTTATTTTATCAAAATTATAACATTCTAATAACCAGATATATATATGTCAATGAACTTGAACAGAATGGAAGCATAGATTTTGTGGGTTGAAATACTGAACATTTTGGTATGAGTTTGTGTTACGGTTGACTTTTTTTTTAGTTGAGTAAACTAGACTGACAAAACAGGAAACACAGAAGCAGAAAAGTTTTAGAATTAGTTGATGATGGCTTCATTGAACAATATATTAAGAAGCTAGGATGCGAAAATATTTTACACTTCGTGTTAACTTAAACGGAAACGCATCATTGACGTCTTTGTCTCTATCTTCAGTGGCTTGATGCTCATCCTGGTCACTTGTGCAGTTATTCCTTTCTTTCTTCTCCACCTCCGTATGCTAAGACCCGCAACTGCTTGTTTGTGGAATTAGGTTATTTTTGACCCTATGTTTTTTTTTTTAGTCAAACGTTCATTTCTCTGCCGCTCGTATCATTATAGGTAAATGGTACACTGTTCCATTTACTTTCCCCCGTATCTTCCACTTTCTTTTCCGGATCATTGATGTTTCTTGGACTCATTACGAGAGCCTGGTCCTCCTTTTGTGTGATTTTAACTATCGGCATGTCTTCTGGGGTAATGGTCTGACTGATACCTGAGGCTTTCTTCTGGAGCCTGTCGCCCTCTCTTCCATTACCTCTCCTGAATTCAAGCCAACGCAAGCCGACTCGTGCCCTTTCCTGTACTGACCTTTCTCTCTGCTGATCCTCTATTTACAGTCATGTCGTGGAAGGTCGTCAGTAACCTACGCAACAATGACCATTTCCCCATTCTTATCACCTTTTCTTTCCGCCTTCTTCTCTCCTTCCTTCGGTGGTGGGTTGATAAGGCGGACTGGAATCTTTCACCTTTCAATCTTTTTCTAATATATCTGATCTGCTTCTCCCTCGAGCCTTCCTTCTTTCCCACAACACCTTATGAGGAACAGCCCTCCGCTCTGTCCCTCTCTATGCCTCCCGAGGCGCACACAATTGCGTTCTCTGGTGGAATTCAGACTGTGCTCAGGCTTTCCGCTTTAAAGCCTGAAGTCTGCAAAAGACACTGACGCCTGAGTTTTTTTTGTTTCAAAAGGTGAGTGCTGTGGTCAGTACAGTTATAAGGAAGAGTTGGACATTCTATATCTTCACAATAAAGGTTGACGCCTCTCTCCTTCAGATCTGGAAGAAAATGCGCAAAATTGCTTTCTACATTTGTGTCAGACATCACAAGTCTTTCAACTCCATAGTTGTGACATGGCTCACCTTCGCACCTCTCAGCTGTTGGATCCGCTACTAATTTTCCTACTTCAGCCCGTTCTCAAAAACAAAGGCTAAAGTCCATTCCATGCACCGGCCAAACCCTCTGTTTGGTGGGTGCAAACCCAATAAATGAAAAACGGTTTACACACGACTCACAACGGATGATTTTCAAACATTTCTCAAACAAGTGCTTGGCTGACGACTTTTGTTCGAATCGAATATACGTACTACAAATACAAATATTCAACAACAGAACCTAAACACCTAAGAATACCTAAATATGCAGAATATGCTAATATATAAATGTTATTTTACATTTGTGAAAATTCCTACTTCACTTAACAACATGTTTAAATTGATGAATGAGAAGTTCTAGAAACGGTAGTTACGTCAGTGTGAATGGTACCAACGGTAGGAATTTGAGGATGGGTGGTAGCAACGGTAGGAATGGCAGCGTGAATGATTGGAACGGTAGCAATGTCTGTGAGTAGAAGCAACGGTAGCAATGTCAGTGTGAGTGGTAGCAACGGTAGCAATGACAGTGTGAGTGGTAGCAACAGTAGCAATGTCATTGTGAGCGGTAGCAAGGGTAGAAATGTCAGTGTGAGTGGTAGCAATGGTAGCAATGTCAGTGTGAGTGGTAGCAAGGGTAGCAATGTCAGTGTGAGTGGTAGCAAGGGTAGCAGTGTCCGTGTGAGTGGTAGCAACGGTAGCAATGTCAGTGTGAGTGGTAGCAAGGGTAGCAATGTTAGTGTGAGTGGTAGCAAGGGTAGCAATGTCAGTGTGAGTGGTAGCAAGGGTAGCAATGTCCGTGTGAGTGGTAGCAATGGTAGCAATGTCAGTGTGAGTGGTAGCAATGGTTAGAATATTAGTGTGAGTGGCAACAATGGTAGGAGTGACTGTGAATGGTATGTGAAGGGAACCACATTCAAAGTGCCCGCCAGAGAAGGCATTTTAAATCTTAGGCAGAGCTGGGACGTAATTAATGGACGGTGACCGTGGGCGGTTTCCCTGCGCACCTTCCCCGCGCAGCCTGGGAGTAGACAGCGAACAACCGCACCTGATCGAGCAAAGACTTGATACTCCACCAATTAGTATTTGGGATACTCATCCGCTGGTTGATTTAAATCTTGAAACCTCGCCCGTCTTTCATTCTACCTTCCCTTAGAAGCCTAGCATCGCTTCAGCTATCCTCCCAGAAGACTACAGCTCAAGGTGAGCTCTTGATACCATTCTTATTTCACACATCGTCGGCCGGCATTAACCCCTATACGACCGCTTACACAAGTAGAACGGTAGGAATGACAGTGTGAGCGGTAGCAACGGTAGGAATCTCAGTGTGAACGGTATCAACCGTAGGAATATCAGTGTTAGCTGTAGCAACGGTAGGAATATCAAGGTGAGTGGTAGCAACGGTTGAAATGTTAATGTGAGTAATGGCTACGGTAAGAATGTCACTGTGAGTGGCAGCAACGGTTGGAATAATAGTGTGAGTAGTGTGATCTCTAACCAGGTTGTTACAATGAACAAACCACCACCCCGGCAACCCACAAAACTGTTTCTTAGAAACTAGTCAACCTACACCGACCTCAGTCTATTCACAATAACTTTGAAATTATTTTGTAATCATGATTTAAGGGAGTAATTGGACGCCAATTTGGAAAAGAACCGCAAGTCGCCTGGTTTAAATAAGAGCTTCGCAATACAAAGAACCTGATACGAAACCAACTGCATGTGCTCAAAACAATAGCGAACTACCACCAAGAAATCGGACCCAATAATATCCCAACAGGAAACATAAAACTCTGCCAGAAGCCCGTCAGATCCCGCATCTTACCCTTCCTTAAGAACGAACAATGTGACAAACCTCACCACGTCCAACCTCAGCTACCAGTACCTGACAGTCCGACGATGCAACCCGTTTTCGCACTTTCTTACAGTCAATATTGACTTATTAAATACGTGCATATGTGACATACTAAACATACTAGTTTACCTTGAAAAGCTTCATAGAAAACACCGACCTTACCTAACCTTCTTAGTATGTTAAGATAAGCATCTTATTGCTTCGTAATTACAATTATTACTTAACCTATACCTATAATAGGTTAAGTAATAATTGTAATTATTATTACTTAACCTATGCCTATAATAGGTTAAGTAATAATTGTAATTATTATTACTTAACCTATACCTATAATAGGTTAAGTAATAATTGTAATTACGAAGCAATAAAATGCTTATCTTAACATACTAAGAAGGTTAGGTAAGGTCGGTGTTTTCTATGAAGCTTTTCAAGGTAAACTAGTATGTTAAATATGTCACATATGCACGTATTTAATAGTCAATATTGACTATACGAAAGTGCGAGAACGGGTTGGACGACGACAATACTAAAAAATAATGACTGAGAGCAAAATCGTCAAAACCCTGATCACTCTCCGCCATCCTATAAAGATCCTCAAGCACCTTCTGAATATAGAAAATACCCCATCTGTATTCGACAAAACCGAATCATCAGGCATATGGAGACCAATCAACAACACCGACTTGTGATCCTCTTTCTCTTTCCGAAACAAAAATTGCGAAAGCTGTTCTCCAAACAACTGTTCCTCCACCCCAGCCCTGACCCTACCCCCTTCAGTTACCTCGTCCCTCATCACGCGAATCTGATCTTTGCACAGCAAAATCCCTGGAAATCTATCAAACCCAGTGTTTACCAACGAATACAAGTGGGTCAACCGAGCCTGCAACACATTCGCCAACCCAAACCTTTAAGCCGACTTCCTCTTCACAATAGAAAGAAAAAGCCGCTGACCTCGCCTTTACACAAGTCCCAACAGTTCAGGAGACAATGAAAACTGCGTTTTCCTTCTACCAACAAAGTCTACCGAACTCGAAATTGGTCAAGAACATCGTCACATTGTAGCAAACTACAATTGAGTTCCCACCCACCCGTACTGGGCTCTGAGCACTAATCTTCACAACCACCATACAGTGGTCCGAGAAAGTCAACAACCCTCCAACTATCTGCTGGCATTCAAGAAAATCTAGTCAAGAACACGAACTGCGAGAGACGAAAGTATACTCCATGGTTCCACTATGGACAACAGCCGCATCCCGAAATCTACAAGAAAGTAGAATTTCAACGAAAGCAGGGGACACGTTAGAAGGCGAATGACTACTGCAGTCTCTCGCCGACATCACACAGTTAAAATTCCCCCTTCCCCCGCCCCCTCCCCACTCAAAAAAAAAAAAAGACCGAGTAACATGCCCCAGAATATATAACACGTCATTAGCAAAGAAAGCTTCCCTCTACTACTTTCTGTCAGATTCAGAGGGAGCATAAACTTATAACAACGGTATAACCATACCCAGATAGGAGATTCTCACAAACAGAATCCTCCCATCATTGTCCATCTCTGTATGTAGCAAAGAAATCGGCACCAGTTTGTTAATAAGAATCAAGGTACCCTCCTTTCAACAACCTGGAGGGATTCAACAACACGATAGCCATTGGTCAGGCAATACAGCAAGCCCCCATCTCTGATCTTATCATCCTGGATCAAAGCCACATCGACCCTCTGACGGCGAAACATCGAATCCAGACAAAACTGTGTTGCTAAGGAACGAAGACCATTTACATTCTAAAAGGAACAAGTAAGACTGGAAGCCATCGGGAAAAGAGGAGGAAAGACAGAAATACTTAACCATAGTGCACCTGCTGCCAGACCAAGGTGGAGGACCTGTCCAGGAGTCACCCCCGATACCCTGACCATCAAGGATACCCTGGGAAGGAGAACCACTAAGAAATGGGGTGGGAGGCCCCACTCCTTAACACCATTCGCAAATCACTACTAGTGCGACACACGACATTAGACTCAACTGCTCTCCATTACGGCTCACCCTCAATGGGAGGCCCACATGCTGGGTCCGGGGAGAGAACATCCTCACACCCACTCGGCTCCGAGACAGCCACAGCAGCATCCTTCACACACATCTCACTCTCTCAATGTGATCCTCTCACTCATGGGTTCACAACCTGCCAGTTTTCTTCAGAAGTTTTTGCTCAAGCCCCAAAGTGGCCGGAACAGACATGTCCCGCAAGTGTCGAGTAGGACTCGACACTTGCAGAAGGGGGCAGCCGGCGTCACCACTCGAGGAGTACGGAGAGGGGGGGGGGGGGAGGGACCGAACTTCCTTACCAACAAACACATCAGGCGGATATTCCCCAACTTTTTTGTACTCAGAATACGAGCTTGAATTCCCAAGGCAAGCTGCCACGTCCTCCTTTTCATAAAAAGAAGCACAGGATGAACGTCATTTTGAACCAATAGGTCTCCTGCAGTTCCCTTGAGTGTTATGTTCTTGCGTACTTTGGTGTACAAGTGGGTATTAAAATATAGGGTATTAAAAAATAAACTGATAATAGAACACAAAACAATGAGTATAAATTGGATAATTTTAGATTTAGGAAAAACCTGGGTAAATACCGGTTCGGTAACCGAGTTATCAATTTGTAGAACCAATTACTGCATAACATAATAGACGTAGGATCGCATGATTGTTTCAAACGTAGGTTAGACATATAAGTGAAAGAATTTGGGTGGATATAAATTCGAGCAGCCACATGTGGGCCAATAGGCATTTTGCAGTTTCCATGATTCTAATGTTCTAATCATACTTAACACTCCCAATCCCATCCAGGTTATATCCTTTAACCTTATCAGCATTACCTCGTCTTAAAAACTTACATTTGTCAGCATTAAAATGCATCTGCCAATCTTAGGACCATTTCAAAAGCTTGTTTAGATCGTCTTGAAGATACTGTGAGTCTTCATCCATGTTTATTTGCCTCCCTATTTTCATATCGGTGGCAAATCTGCAAATATTACTGCTTAAACGTGAATCTAAATCATTTATATATATATTATACATAACACAGGTCCCAGGACAGACCGTTGAGGCACTCCACTTTAAAAAGTTTCCCATTTTTACTTACCTCCATTTATACTAACTCTTTGTTTCCTTTGGTATAAGGCAAGGCATAGGGGAAGACAACGAAGGAGCACAGGTACCTCAAGGTGCTCAAAAAGTAAAGAAAGTACCTAAGCGAATTTTGGTTCTGGGTGATTCCCAGGTGAGGTATTTGAATTGAACTTTTTGTGCCAGAGATAGGGGGGAACAGGTTAAGAGTTTGCTCTCCGGGAGCTAGAATTGGTGACATTGTTAACAACATGAATAAAATTATGACTGGAAATGATAACAAACCCATTATTTGTATGAGTGCAGATGGAAATGATGGTGGACGAGTTAGAAGTGAGGCATTGATTCAGAGGTTTAAGACCGCAATAGAATTAGTTACGAGTAAGGGAGGAATCCCGATCATATGTGACATTCTTCCAAGAAAGGGAGATGAAAATAAAAGGTTGTCAAGGGCACTTGGTATCAATTGCCGACTGGACAAATATTGCAAATCAAATGCAATAACCTTCATTGATATCTGGGAACACTTTTATGCAAGGAATGAGATGTATGCTCGGGATGGGGTGCATTTATCCAAGGCTGCGGTTGTTGCTGTTGCCAACTCGTTGAAACCTGTTGCTGGAGGGGTTTGTTTGGGTTTAAACTGTTAGTAGATAGTGGTATGGGAATTTATACAGAGAAAGGAGGCAAAAAAAGTATCTGTTTTTTTGGGAAACAAATCGGCAAAATGAATGGGGAAAGAGAAATACCTTAAAATAACAATGAACTTAGGGTATATTACACAAACAGTAGGAGTCGGGAGCCGGGAGGCTGAGCGGACAAAACACTGGGCGCGTGATCCTTTGGTCCCGGGTTCGATCCCGGGCGCCGGCGAGAAA